ATATTTACAAAATTTTGTTTTATGCCATTCGATCCGGTCTCTGGTAAGGATCAATGGTATCTACGGGACCAACTGTGGTAAGAGTACTCGAAATGGCAGAAATCGCAAAAAATCTTTTACCACACATTTTAAATGAAATTTTTTTGTTAGAAACGACACTGGCCACTACTCTAGAAATAAGACTTAAGTAAAACCAAATTATAATCATATCACAATTTTTTTTAATTTGAAACAGCTTTGTTATGTTTTGTTAATAGAGAATTGTCACTTTTAAAACGATTTTTAATCAAAATGTTCTCAAGTGTGGAAACAAATTAATTGGAACACATGGTCCTATCAAATGGCCACCGCGCTGTCCTGGTCTGACGCCACTTGATTTTTTCTTTGAGACTATGTAAAAAATTAAATTTATAAAAAAATACAACAGTGTTCAATAATTGAAAAACGCACTTGCAGCAATTTTCAATAGAATCCATCTGAGTAGAATTTCAGCAGCTACTTGCTCTTTGCGGAAGAAAGCGAATCGATGCATCCGCCGAGGCGGTAATCAATTCGGGCACTTACTATCATAAACTTTTTATGTTATTTTGCTTTTCGTTATTGTTTTTATTTTGAAATACATAATACGTTGTCAATTTGTTAGTTTCCTTATTGTTAGTTTCCAGAATAACTGATGACTAAATAGGTCCCTACAAAACGTGTGGTAAAAGATTTTTGCGATTTCTGCCGTTTCGAGTACTCTTACCACAATTGGTCTCGTAGAGACTATTGATGCTTACCAGAGACCGGATCGAGTGGCATAAAAAAAGTTTTGTAAAAATTGCCTTTATCTTGCAGACTGTACCATTTTTTCAAAATCTGTGAATGCCAATCAAAATACCTTCAAAATTCATAGATACTCAAATTCACACCCTGCTGTACATTCTATTGAAGTTATAAATTAAAACAACTATTATATTCTAAGGCATTTGGAAATTCACCATAAATAATTAAGTACATGTTTAATTAGGCAAATTATGCATCATTTTCGAAATTGAAATCCACCAAGTGGATTAATCTAATCCAAATAATGGCCTCTGACAATTTAATGGCAAAAATAAATAAAGCAACGGTCAACTACCGCGGTATCTCTTTTTATCGACCAGTAATGGCGGAGCCAGTGCCGATTACCTGTTCAAATGCAGGTGGCTATGAAAATTTACGCACTTTACTTAGTTATATAATATTTAATAGTAAAGTAAGTAAAAAGTAAAGTAATATAATATTTAAAAGATAATCAGGATCCAGTTATATTGAAAGGAATTTTTCTTTGTAATATTCGGTCTTTGTGTGAACAATAACAAAACAGACTCGTGGAGTATTTCACAAAAAAATATATTGTTAAAATATAAAAAAACCGATCCCAAAAGTTTGCTTGTCCGTTTTCACTGGATTTTATTTTCATTGGAAT